CACTACAGGAACGTTGGAATCTGTGAGGATCCGTTTTGATGGAGAACATGCAAGGTGCACTCTCATGCTCTGTACAGATACATCCGAACTCGCCAGGTAGACTGAATACTCATGAGGTCGGTAACCAAGTCAACCTCTTGTTTTATTTCCATCTTCATCCGCTATTCGAGTGATGTAAACAACTGAATATGCAACTTGCAACTCTCTTGCCACGGCCATTTCTGACTTGGAAAACCTACAACGCGCGGGCTCCAGTATTATTCATGCGGTGTGCAGATCTCTCTGGCACCACCGTCGTCAATTGCAGATGGTTAACCTCGCAACCACCGACCGACAACAACAACAAAAACTCGGCCAGAGAATCGCATTGAAGAGCGTTAGCTTGTTGAGAAGGGCTGGCTGCCTGGCTGACTCGTGGTACCTATTGAATGACTGCGGCTGACTCTGCATCTTCTTCCTGTCGCCTCACATTCTTGTGTCACCTCACCGACTTTGGCATGTCAACCGATTTGCTTTGCAAATGCCGTTCCGACAACCGAAACTACGACACACCCAAATCAAATGGGGGTTGTCCAGCCGCCCAGCCGAGTAACTGTTGATTGTCCAAGGCTGGCTCGTACAGAAATTGGAGACTTTCGAAGACAAGTGCCCACCTCCAACTTTTCTGTTGTTGATCACTCACCCATACTGACGCACTGATTGGGTGCCGGGTGAGAGGTGAGAGAAAAAAAAGCGAGTGGCTTGCACTTCAGAGATCTACACATCCGTCTCCAGAAAGTCCAGCGCCGCCACCATAGAAAAAAGGTGTGGCTGTCCCTTCCGCCCAGCGAGACGGTTTGACTGGTCCAGAACCTCCCCCCATCTGCCGGCGGGTTCTCCAGCGTCGTTCCAAGAAAAGAAATCCCAAGCCACGGGAAAACCTGTCCCAGTTTCTAGGCTCGCCACTAGTAGAGTGAAATCCCCTTTGCCATCCCAAGGAGGGATGCCATTTGAGTATTTTGATGGAGACCTGTAGTGGACAAGAACAGTATCAAGAAACAGGAACAGGAAGTCGAGTAAACAGGTAACAAGCTCTCCACCGGACAGAAGAGCAGCTCGTCACCATGGCCATCATCAACACCCGCCCACCAAAGACCAGCATCTCCAAGAAAGCATTCTCACTGGACGACACTGGGTAGCAGATCGCTGACAAAGCCCACCCAACTGTACAACTATCCAAGGCAGTGAATGTACGGGTACAAGCCTGCTGAGCCGAATAGACCGCAGTATTCCCGTCAAAAAAGGGGTCTCTACAGGGGGTACCCAACCCAAGATCGCCTCCCGTTGCTATTTTTGAACTCTAGAGTCTGCGCAGTACGCGTCTGCTCATGTCACTCTCTTCTTCTCTTTTTTGCTCAGCCTCAAACCTCCCTCTTCGGGACCTGACGACATGGTGGTTTAAGCGATAGCTTGACCAAGACATGCTTATTTTTTTTCTTCTCTGCCTCTGCCTCTTTCCGCCATGCCGATCACTTACGTCTCTGTTCAGTCGGGAGAAAAAAAAAGCTAGACTATTCGTTACCTCGTACAGGGTACATTGTTAGTTTTATTCACACCTGTCCACGTGATGCTGTGCTGCCGTCTTAGAACCTCTGTGAAACATCGCCAACATCGTCAAAATCACCTGGAGAGTTGTTCGGGCGGGGGCAGTCAAGAGAGCAGATCAAAGCAAACTCCGAGACACAAACGTTTTGACATCTGTCAATCCGATCCCGGGGGCAAGGATGGCGAAAAGCCACGTCTGCCTTGCTCGGTAGCTCTATCCGAACAACTGTCTTCTCTAGCTGGTTAGACAGGTCCAGGCGCTGGGTCGAGAAACTTGCGCACAAGCCGTTCGTTTCCTTTCGCCGCCGCGCGGACTCTGTGTTCGTCACATCCTCTCTTGTCTCTTCTCCCCCCAAGAACCCCAAGACCACCTCAAACCCAATGCCTAGACGAACCAAGCATTTTGCCATGCCCGCGATATGCGTGGCCGCGTCAAGCACATCCTCTTAGTCTACCTACCTACCTAAGGTACGCTGAGGTCGCCCACGACATCGGAACGTCTCCACTAGGCTTAGAATCTCTAGGTCACTCCATGCTTGCGTACCAAGACTCCCAAGACCGAGCTTCTTCGTCATTAGGGATTTACTAAGGTAGATGCCAAATGTCGCCTCCCGGTCCAGAACATCGTGAACACTGAACCCCATCCGAGGACCGAGGGATAGGGGCATGACCGCGACGACACCACGTCCAATCGCTTATGCCCCACGCTCTCGGCCTCTCCCTTTTCCTCTGAGCCTCACAAGGCGAAGACGAAGACGCAACTTATGAAAATGTCACACTATCGAAGTTTGGAGGTAACCCCCCCCCCCCGGTCATAAGGGAATCCGGCACCTTGGCGCTCGACCGGGCACCATGCGCCCACATCCCTGCGCTCCAATTTGTAACGAGCCGCAAGGCAAAAAGGCATGAGTTCAGAACCTTATGTTGGTTAGCCTGGTGAGCTAGAATTCATCAAGAGAGCACAAAAATCGTACGGCCCATTCCGAAGGGCGTACGTAACCTTGCCCTGCCACCAGTCTTCATCAAAATCATTCATGGTTCGTTCGCCGGGGGGCCGGGCTCGGAGCCTGTCAAGGCACGGGAACGACGATATTAGGTACGGTAAGGGATGGTGGGGGAGGAACCGTCACCCGAAAAAAAAGAAAAAAAGGACTCGACTGTCAACCTAAGCCACGCCGAGCGCAACAACTCACGCCGGCCGCAGCCACACACGAGCGAAATGTCGTTCGTCTTTTGCCCATTTCTTGGACGAGTTCGCCCAATGCCGTCAATGCCATTGTCAAGACTTCACTCTCCCCCTCCCGCCACGCGTGTCCAACCCGGAAAAGGGCGCAGCCGCAGTTCATGCAACGCTCAAGTCGTGCTCAATGCTCAGAATCTTCTTTTTGAGTCCATCTCTGAATCTCTCTAATCTTGCTTACTCAGTGACCACACAGGCCATCCTTCCGTGCTCTCATCAGTTTGTTTGTTCATCGTGCCTTTGCGCTAACCAACACTTCTCCCCCGTCGCGGTGTCTGCTCAATGTGCTCTGACCTTACCCCATGTTCCGGCTCTAGTGGACTTACGAATGCTTCCTTTCCCCTCATTTATTCAGGGTCCGGCGCGAACCCGGACTCGGAACCGGCCTGCGCCGCCTCCATGTCCTTGAGCGCCTTTTGGCCCTCTTCCGTTGTGGCATCGATAATCTGCTCCTCCAGGCTCAAGATGCCGGCCTGTATATCATAATGATGTTAGTGAACCGGCTCATCATACATCTGCACAGGAGAAGGAATACCCACGTCTCCGAGCTTGCCGACAATGTCTTCGGCCTCTTCAACCTTCATCTTGCCCAACACCTTGTTGACCTCATCCAGGCTCCCGCTCTCCAGAGCCTTCTGGAAGTCGGCGCTGAACGTCTCAAAAATGTCCCGGCCCTCCTTCACGGCGGGGTCCTCGCTGTCTTTGGGCGGGATCGTAATCTTGATCTCCGTGCCGGGCTCCACCGCGTGCAGCTGGATCTGCTCCACGCCCTCGGGCTCACTGGCGCGCTCCTTGACAATCTCCCGCGCCCGGTTTCTGATCTTGCCGTACGTATCCTGCACGTCCTTGAAGAACACCTCTTGCGCCTGGTGACCCTTTGTCGTGATGCGCTTGAAGAACATGCCCACGCCGTCCTTGCCCAGCGCTCTGCAGTACTGCAGCAGCAGCGCCTGATGGACGCACTGCCGGCAGAAGTCGTCCTTACTCTCGAGAGCGGCGTCGAAGGCGAGGACCAGGAGGCCGTCCGTCTCCCGCTCCGTCAAGATCTGCGGGTTCTTTGACAGGTACTGGGCGCTGGACGTGTAGTCGTCGGCCTTGATCTGCGCAAACTTCTTGGCGGCGGGCGACGCTTCAATCTCCTCGTCGTCGTCGTACGATTGGGTCGGCTTGGCTGGAAGGGACTGCGTCATGTCAAAGTTGGGGTTCAGGAGCTCCGGCTTGCGCTGCTCCTCCTTCTTATCCGTGTCCTTGGACTTGTTGACGTGCGAGCTGTCAAAGCCCGTGTGAATGCCCTCGCTCGTGATCTTGCGTCCCTCCTCCTTCTCCAGCTCCGCCAGCTTGGCAAACAGCTCCTTTTGCAGATTCTGCACCTTGGTCAGGTGCCCCTCGACGCCCTCGAGCATGGCTTTGTAACGGTTCTCGGGCTTCTTCTCGTCCAGCTCTTTGTTGACCTGGTCCAGGAGCACGGCCATCATCTTGGAGAAGCTAGGCAGCGGCTCCGAGTCGGCGTGAATTCCCTCGGGGCGTGGGGGCGGCTGGTCATCTTCGGGCTTGCCGGCGGATTCCATGACGGCCTGGAAGGCGACCTCGCCAGGGTTTCGGGTTTCGGCCTCGGAGGCATGGGACTTGAGGGCGTCCAGGAGGTTGGAGATGCGCTTCATCAGGCCATCGTTGATGATACGCTCGTACTTGAGCGTCTCGATCTGATGCTTACGCTGCAGTCGCTCCTGGTGGATTTGGTTCTGCTTTGCACGGATGAATGAGCGCTTATCGACGTTGGGGTGGACCTCGACATCCGAGTCGTCGCTGAGCTCCAGCGCGTCCTGTCGTATTTACATGTTAGCTACAGAGGTCGGCGTCATAACAACCATGGTCGGGAGCTATTGGGTGATGTGAAACGCACCCATTTGCTGTAGTCGACGGGCATCTTGGCGAATGGTTCAGCAATACGATGCAGATGATTGATTGCCTCCAGTTGATGTGGGCATCAGCTGTTGACTTTGAAGCGATGTTGTTGAGTGGAATGTTCTGGATTTTGCTTGACAATGCTCGTTGGTTGGCAGGAGCTTGGTGCAGAGCCAGTACGGTGCCACAGTGCATCACAGGTGCGGGGCACTACCCCGCCGCCGCATTGTTATCCCGATAGCTGAGCTCAGCTATGAGATCAGCAGTGAGGCATCTTAACTCCCGCTTCCACTCCTTATTTGAACGGTGTAACACAACTTGCTCACAGACACACAGCAAATAGGTTCGCCTGATGACAAGCTGCCATCTATCAGACAGCCATCATGAAATGGCAACCTCTCTCTTCAAATGGTATGAGGCTGAAATTCACCACTTGCTCCTAGCAAGATAACACCTTTGTAGGATCAAAGCCCTCCTTCGCAACTCTCCCAGTCCCAACATATCCCCTCTGGTTGCTCATAATCCTGACACCCTTCACCCCCGTATCTGTCGAAAAGTGTGTATGCCCAAACACCCAACAAATCATCCGAACAGAATCCCCTACTTCCTCCAACACATCCGTCGCAAAAGCAGAAGACCAAGGGCCCCCCTCAAACCTAGGCTCCGACGTCCCCTCTCGCGAAGGCGCATGGTGAGTAGTCACAATAACCTCTCTCCCACGCGCCACCGCTTCCCTCGCCTCTCTCTTCAACCAACCCGAGTCCTCTTTGTGAGCCGCGCAGTGTGCTTCAAGACTCCATCCCTCAATATGCTGAAAATCCTTGACCTTTCTCACGACCGCAGCCCCCGCCTCCTCCGGGACATTGGTCCATAGAGTGCATCCCAGGATGCTCACATTGGAACCGGGGATATCAAATCCGCGGCAGTGGAGTACATGTAACCTCCCTTCCAACGACGGCTCTGCTTCAAGCCTTGCCGCCTCTGCAAGCGTCCCGTCGTACGTGAGACCATGAAACTCGTGATTGCCAAGTACCAGTAAAACGCCCTTGTACCGATCCGTCTGACGCTGGATGAACCCAAGATAAATGTCGTAGTCGGATAGACTACCGACATCGCCAGAGAAGAGGAGATAGGGTGCTGTGACGGGAAAGTCAAAGGTCGAGTAGTCTCTGCTGGCTTCGAGATGCAGATCCGAGAGGAATTGCACAAGGCCTGACGAGGCCTCGTCCATGGCCATGAATCCGGCGGCTTGTTCTTCTGGGCGAGACCGTATAAGTGAGGGAGATCTTGCAGTACTGATTTTGATCTGTCTTGCTTCTTGGCCACATCTAGACTGTTGATGTGAAGGCCAGAGTAAGGGAACCTATCAAAAACCTCTCAAAACACGGTTGCGGGTGTACTGTGTATTATCTAATCAAATCGTCTTCATTGTCAAGCCACAGGGAATCAATGTTGACGTTGCTTGTTGCAGCGTATAGACCATCTCAGATAACAAGAAATGTCAAAGGCAGTCACAGTCACACATCAGGAGCGTCAGTCACTACTCGTGAGACAAGGTCAGATGCAGTGAAATGTTATATCATGAATGATCAAAATAGTTTGAATGCTCAGCTGTTTTCTTTCAACCCCACGTGCGTCGTATGAGTCGTAAAAATTGCTAGTGTCATATAGTACAGGTGTTTCCACGCACACGTTTCGTTATGAGTACACTGCTGCGTGAGAGGTCTCAAGCCTCCCTATCGAAAAGGCATCCAACTCGCTCTTATCTAAACCAGATGCCAGGCTAAACTCCATACAAAGACCCTTGACGGCCTCTCTCCACCCTCCTGCTGATACGACCGTGGTCGGGGGTATTATTACTGCATGGTCTTCAAGAAACCATCCAGATCGAAACTCTCCTCATACTGGCGATTATCCCATAGGTCGCCCAAATCATCAAGCCAAGCCTTCTTGCCGGGTTGCTTGCCCGTGACGACATCTCCCGTTTCGATGTCCACCATGTCTTCCTCTCTACCCTCCATTGAGTTTTGCGGCTTGTCTGATATGAGACTGGGTCCTGTGTCCCCAAGGTTGAAGAGATCCAGAATTTGATCTGTATCCATCGTAGCCAGGCCCGCGTTCTGTTGATTGACCACAGTTGAAGCGACATCGATCTTGAAGCGTTGCAAGCTCAGGATCTTCTCTTCCAAAGTGCCTCTGGTCACCAGTCGGTATACGTTGACGACCTTCTTCTGACCGATACGATGAGCTCTGTCCATGGCCTGCATATCCTTCTGCGGGTTCCAGTCATGTTCAACGAAAATGACCGTGTCGGCACCCGTCAGATTGAGTCCCAAACCTCCGACACTGGTGGTCAGGAGCAAGACGTCGTACGATGGGTCGCTGTTGAACTTGTTGACAATATCCTGACGCTTGTTGGCCTCGACTCCACCATCTAGACGAAGGTGGGTGACGCCTGGCAGCATGGTCTTGAGCACCGTGTTCTGGACCATGTCCAGCATCTCCTTCATCTGGCAGAAGATGAGGGCGCGATGAGGCTTGATTGGCTGATACAGGGGGTCATTCGACTCGGCTTCTTCCACACCAATGCCGCAATCGACAAGTAGGTCTCGCAAAGCGGTCAACTTGGGTGCATGAACCGGATCCTCGAGACTAGTGCCTTGCTTATTAAGGATGCGTTGGGTCTCTTCGTACATGCCGTGTCCAGGCTTCATGACCATGGCTGGAGAGTTGCAGAGCTTTCGCATGTACTGCAGGGCCTGGAAGATGTGTGACTTGGCGTCCTTGTCCTCACGGCCGGCCTCTTCTTGCAGCTTCTTGCCTTGCTTTCTGGTGAAGTCATCAAACAGCTTCTTCTGAAGGTCACTCAAGTCGCAGTAGTAGTTCTGCAAAATCTTGGGGGGGAGGTCATCCAAAACCTCCTCCTTGAGGCGTCGCAGAAGGAATGGCAGGACCTGCTTGTGGAGAGCCTCGATAGCCAGAGCACCCGCTTCTTGCTCTTTGGAAGATGCCTTGCTGAAGCGACTTGCGGCGATGGGCTTGGCAAACCGGTCCAAGAAGACCTTCTCAGCACCAAGGAAGCCAGGCATCAAGAAGTCGAACAAGGACCAGAGCTCCAACACGTTGTTTTGAATAGGGGTTCCGGTTAGAATCAGTCGATGGTTGCTGGCCAATTTCTTGACAGAAATCGTAATCTTGGCCTTTGGATTCTTGATCAAGTGTCCCTCGTCCAAGATGACGTAATTCCAGTTGTACTTTGCAAGGACATCGGCGTCGTTTCGGCAGACATCGTAGCTGGTAACGACGATATCAGTCTTGTCCAGGTTGTCCTTCATGCTCTTTCTCTCGGCTGGCGGGCCAACGTAGGCAGTGACGCTCAGGAAGGGTGCGTAAGTCTTGATCTCCTGCTGCCAGTGGCCGGATAACGTAGGAGGGCAGACGACCAGAGATGGGAGACGGCGAACATCGGGTGCGCCTGTCTTTGCGTACTCTTCGGCGCGCTGATGATGGTCGCTGGCAACCATGCAGATGGTTTGCAAGGTCTTTCCGAGACCCATGTCGTCGCAGAGAATGCCGTGCAAATGGTACTTGTTGAGGAAGTGAAGCCAATTGACACCATCTTGCTGGTATGAACGAAGTTCTGCCTTGATAGCGACGGGAATCGGGAATGATTCCACTTTCTTGGGGTCCAGCAGCTGGGAAATGAATGTTCGTTCGCGGTCTCTGCCCTTCAGTAACTCTTCAGACAGTCCAGGAGGGTCTGGGATGCCTGCCTCCAGTGGCACGAGTTTGACCAAGGTTGCGAAAGAGGTTGTCGCAATTAGACGAATTTCGTTATCTGAATCGCTCATGCGGCCCAGAACGGGAACAATGAGGAAGATAACGTAAGGAAGAATGGCATCGCCCATCACGGCAATCAAGTGGTAAATGGCTTCGATCGCACCTTGACGGAAGTTGAGGTCGATAGGGTTGCTGATGGATGGCAAGACGTTCTCGACAAGGGCTGTCATACCCTCGACTGTGATGACGCTACAAATAGTAGCCATGCATTTCGCTGCCATATAGCGGAAGACAGAAAGCTCAGAGTGCAGGGCTTTAGTGACCAAAGGAACCTTCTCCATGATGAATGGATGCATGGCCTTGTCAAGAGTGGGCATGAGTGTCCGAATAAGGGACAAGGCATCGACGATTTCTTGGCCAAATGTATCCTCGGGGTTCTTAGCCTCAGCCGGCAATGCGCCAGAGAAAGCCTTGACAAGAGGATCCTCCATGAATACCCTGATAGTAGGCACAGCCGTGAGCAGCTCGGCGCCGTAGGTCTTGGAGAGGATTTCCAGCGCCTCCTTGGCGCCACGACGGGTGATGCGCGCAGCCTTGACTTCTTTTGCCCACTTGGCAGCGTCCGCATGATCGACTCGATCTTCTTCTTTCTGCATTGAAAGCACGCAATCTGTCTTGCTTGCGTGGACAGGGAACTCTGGAGTCTCGGCAACTTCCACGCAAGAGAATTTGATCAGGTTGGAAACAACCTTGTCGGCCGGTCCGCGACGACCCATCTCGTTGAACACTTGCACAAGTCTTGCAATGGTCGCCGATGCCCGGCTCTGAAGCACTTGATTGTCTTCCGTCTTGATGCTGTCCATGATGCCCTTGATCAGCGGGCTGGGCTTCTTGGGCAGGGCCTTGATCGCAACCAATGCGCACGCGGCGCCTGCTTTGATGCGGACGTCTCGTGAGTCCTTAGCGGCTTTCGCGTCGGTAATCGCCGACACGGCAACTTCTCTGGCCTCGCTCAGCATCTGGCTGGCAACAAGACGCTGTCCTGGAGACATGGCCTTCTTGAGCTTGTCGAAATCCTCTCCGACAACCTTGTCTGCAACGGCAATGGAGAAGGCACCTGGGCCAGCTTGCTCGTCACCCTGAACAAGAACAGCCAGTGTCGGGAGCCGTCCACTCGACACTTTGCCGTGATCGCGGAACATGTTGAGAAGTTGTTGACACTGAGATCGCACCCGGTGCATGAAGCTGACTAGGTCGCCGTAGTGAGCAGGACGTTCAGTCTCAATAATCTTCTGAAGAGGCGCCGCATATCTTTGGGCTCCTTCGGCAGGGCCGTTGGTAGCGTACTCGTCAATGATCATGCATGCTGAGAGCTGTGTGGACGAAGCCCGGTCTGAGATACCGGCGAGAAGTAGCTGGTCATACTCGGCGAGGTTGGCAACCGGAATGAAAGACATGATCAGGCCCATGGCTTTGGCAGCTGAGACTCTTGATCGAATCAGAGTATCCATGCCAACGAGGTCCACATCTCCCTGGATCATGTGCCCGTCAACGTCATGAGTATGAGAGGTGACTGGAACGTCATCCGTCTTAGCAGATTTGCGACGACGCTTGTTTGCTCTTTCGGGCCCGTCGGGGGATGAGGCCTTCCGGGCGGGCGTGACGGCGACAGGGGCATACGTGCCGCCTGATGGCTTTTGGAATAGGTGGGCGGGCATGGGTAAGGGATGCCGGGACACACCAATAGGGTGTAGCGTAAGTCTCATCAGAGGCTCTACGTGAGCAGCGAACTCGTCGGCAAGAATCTCGGGCGTCTGTGCAAGTGAGCGAACCAAGGCTGTCCAAACGTCCAAAGACATTGCCAGTGTTTCCCTGTCCCTTTCAACCAAGACGTTCTGGAAGATGAGTCGTAAAATTCTTCCATTGAGCCAGCCTCGAGAGTTCTCAGCTCCCAGATTTGCGAACGTCATTAAAGCCTTCAGCACAGCTAAGCGAACCGAAGTAATGGTGTGTCGAAGGAAGGGGTACAGGCGCGGCACTAGCAAGGTGAACGAACGCTCCTCGTCTTGTGCCGCGGACGTCTCCATGGCCTGCAGGACTTCCGGATAACTGCAGAGTGTCGCGAGTAAATCCATGATCTTACCAGTGCTGGCACTGAGATCGTCACCGAGGTCGGCCAAACTGCCCCACATGATGTTGATGAGGCTATCAATAGACCCAGGTCGTAATGTGACGAACTCCTTGGTCATGGGGAGCAGCGTCGCGGCGCTCACTGCTCTGACGTCGTCGTCATGTTCCTCCAGACCCTTCATGACTAGGCGAACAACGCCATCGATCATCTCACTGTCCTCCAGCAGCAGGTCCTTCCTAACCGCAACGACGTACCTCAGTCCGACCATGCCACCGTGGCAAACAGACCACTGAAGCATATCGAGCTGGAGATCATCTTGCATGACCATTTGGTAGAGAATCTTGTAGATGCCGTGAACAGATTCTGCCGGGATATGGCGAAGGACCGATCCGAGGGATTGACCGATAGTTTCGCGGATCGGCGCGACC